CCGGTCGGAATCCACATTGGTAATCTCCTAATATTTCCTCGGCATATGGTGTTAGTTTCTGCACAAGGATCAATGTCACTATCTTATAGGTGGTATTTACCAATGATATTCCTCTATGGTTACGACAGTCCGCTTTCTTTCCCTTTTTATGGATTGGTATTATTATGCTACTGTTCCACTCATCTGGCATCTTTTCGCGTTTCCATATAGTTGATATGATCTGGTGTATCATTTGGTGTAGTTCATTTCCTCCGTTCTTTACGAGTTCTGCATTAATTTCGTCTTCCCCTGGGGATTTGTAGTTCTTTAATTTGTTGATAGCCTTCTTAACGTCATCTAGTGTAGGCGGTTCCAATTCCAATTCTGCAGTATAGAAGTGCGTGTCTTTGTCACTTCCATCTACTTGTCTATTAAGCAGTTCAGAGAAATATTGCCCCCATCTTTGAATTATATCATCCTCCGACGTCAGTAGTCTTCCGGTGCTATCTTCTACAAAATTTAGTTCTCTTATCGTCTGTCCTGTTTTTCCGATTCTTATTCCTCTATAAAATTCTCTTACTTGGTTGTTCGTGTTGTTTTCCTCTATTCTTCTTACTCTTTCCTCCAAATGTTCCTTTTTCTTCTTTCTCAGTAGTCCTCTGGCTTTGGCACGTGCTATATTAAATATCTCCTTGTTTTCATTCGTGGGGTTCTCCAAAAAAGTCATTCTTTTTCTAGTCTTCTCATCCAATATATTTTTACATTCTTGGTCGTACCATCCATTTTTCTGACTCCCTGTTGTTGTTCCTATAGTTTCACTAGCTGCTTCTCTTACTATCGTCTTTAATTGTTGCCATTCGACTTCAACATTTTCTTCAGTAGTTTCAGTTTGTAGCATTTGCATTTTGTTCCTAATTGCTTCTTTATATTCTTGTACCTTTTGAAGTCTTGTAAATTTGTTTATGTCCCATTTTTTCCTCGTTTCTTTCGTGCTTGATCTTTTGGTGGACATTTTCTCTTTCAATTTGGATCTTACTAAGAAATGATCTGAGTCACTATCTGCCCCCCGCATGCTTCTGACATCTTCAATATTACTGGAAAAACGACCATCTATCAGGACGTGGTCAATTTGGTTTTGCGTTACTCCATCGTTGGATACCCATGTTATTTTATGGATGTTCTTTCTTTGGAATTGAGTGCTCCTAACCGACATGTTCATTGCTATTGCGAAGTCTGCCAATCTGTCCCCATTATCGTTTGTTACGTTGTGTAAACTATGTCTTCCCACTACACATCTCAGATGGTCTTCCTTTCCTAGCTGGGCGTTGAGGTCCCCCATTATGATTTTTATGTCGTTCCTGGGAGCTGCTCGATATTCCTGTTCTAACATCTCGTAGAATTCGTCTTTCTTTTCATCTTCTGCTTCATTCGTCGGGGCATGTACTGAGAACATAGTTACGTTGTGCCACCTTCCTTTCACTCTGAGTTTGCATATTCTGTTGTTCACCGGCTTAAATGCTATAATAGCCGTTCGATATTTTTTGCTTACAACAAAACCACATCCGAATTCATGTATATTTTCAGACCCTGACCAAAACACTAAAGAGTTCTGCATTTGTACACTGCCTGTGCCTAGCCATCTAATCTCCTGAATGGCAGTAATGTCAATCCGGTACCTTTCCAATTGATCGATCGCTCTTGTAGCTATTCCTGGTCTAAACCAGCTTAAAACGTTCCATGTGCCTAATAGAATATCCTTATTTCGTAGCCTAGGTCGATTATCCTGGTTATCCGTCCGTCTCCGAGGCAAAAGTGTTTGATTCGCAGCGTATAAAGTTTTTCCATATGTAGGTTGCTGGCCTACAGTACAACCCCCAACCTGGAGGACCAGGTCTCAGAATTTATGACCCCCTGAGACAGGGTGGCTCGATTTTACCCCCCAAGCACCGGGTTGGCTGTTTGCAGAGGTGGCCCTCTGGGCGGTGGGGTCGCCACATCCCTACGCCTCTCGGTGAAAGTGAATGTCTTCTAATAAATCAAGATTTATAGGACCCTTATAGTGAGACGGTAGGTTAGCTGATTCATCAGCAAAGACACTAGCAAAATAGGAGGCAATGATACCTTAGACGATATGTGTTGTCTGTCATAGGAATAAAACGCTTTGGGCCGATTGAGGAGGTCATTCCGTGAAAAGATGTTCATTAACTAAATACATAATTATTTCACAAAAATCCGTTTCTTTGCTAAAAGGAAGCTTCCCAAATTGGACCACCTCGCACACAGTCGCCGCAAAAAGGAGCGAAACCTCTATTAACGCGCGCGCAAAGAAAGTTTATCGCTTATTATGTGTCATTTGATACCTAAACGGGGGTAATGCGTCCGCGTATTTACTATTTACGCAAGTATTTAAATTAATTTACGGCCGTTTTGAGGAATTTATTAAAATTACGCTCGATAATATGCCATCGGAGTTCGGAATTCGTTGGCAGCTGCATTAGCCGCGGCACTTCCTCCTTGCGGCCCGAGAGTTTTCCTTTTTATATCGAAAGCGTAATGGCCGCGTACTTTCCAGCACGTTCCGTTGATTTTCGAGTGCAGAAAAAGCGAGTTCCAACGCTATTGGACGAAAAAAATTCGGAATAATGTCGTTTCCGCGGCGACGGAGCGTGGCTGAACGATTAAGCCGATCGGCCAGATTGGCGTGTAAAATGCCCGCGTTCAAAAACGACGTTGTGGCGTAAAAATGGCGAGCGGTTTAACCGGGAACCGAAAAAAGAGCCCCATGCTAAATATCGGCCACGCAACATAAACGTGACAATAATAGATAAAATTCTCGTTTACTATACAAGGTGTTTATTAACTGAGCGCAAATATTCAAGCGCATGGATCATTGATCGATTCTCGGAAGGAAAGTTATGCCATAAACCTCTCAATTTTTGAGCTGATGGGTGCTTAAATTTTACGCTATCGTTCAATTTTAAGCGCACCTGGACATCACCGGTGAAGGTACAAAATTAATTTTTGCCCCAACAAAACTCCAAAAATAATTTTAATCTATAGAAAAAGTAAAATATGTGGGTTAAACCTCGTAAAGACGTTGCTGGTGGACGTTAAAAAACACCCAAAAAGGGCACCTTAATGATTAAAAGGCGTGTATAAAAATATCTGAAGTGACAGTTAAGTATCGGCCATCAATTAATAAAAGTCCAACCAAAGACCAACTCTTTCGTCGATTGTTAATAAATCGAATTTGCTGACGTTTTGCCAATCATTCTGTTGGCCTCTCCAGAGCTTAACCGAAACTGTTTAAGTTATGAAGTGATGAAGCCGACGCAGGTGGAATTCTGAAGAATTGCAAATGGTATTACAGTAGCCTGCGGAAGTTTCTTTGAAAAATTCAAAACGGTATTGTATCAAAACTGAAATAATTAATTACACAGGTCAATAAAGATTTTGTGATTTGCTGTTGATACGGACTCGTCTAAGACAAAACTTAAAGGTGTTCTTTTGCACAACGGAAATGTGATCGCTTCTGTACCTGTTCCTCTTTCTGTGCAAATGAAAGAATGTTACGAAAAATTGATTAGTCAGGATTTACGAAGTACCCCTATTTTTTATGCGAATGGGACATTGGGCGATTAAGAACTGGCCAAAAAGTGTTAATTTAACCCCCAGATCAAAAAATATTCTTCACGATATTCTTATTGGTCCACAAAAAATTCTTTCACCACCGTTGCGTATTAAATAAGGACTGACGAAGCAGGACGTTAAAGCTTTAAATAAAGATGGCAAATGTTTTAAACACCTATGTCGAAAATTTCGCGCTTCCTCAGATGCAAAATTAAAGGGAACAATTTTTGTCGTTAAATGACGCAATTAATAGAAGATCAAGCGTGAATACAATGATCGAATCTGAAAAGCTTGCATGGGTTTCATTTACTGATGTTATAAAAGGTTTTCTAAGAAGCAACAAATATCACAAAACTACACTGTTTACACTCGCATCTGGACTACTTTTCCGAACGTCTTTGTGCTACGAGCTACGAGCTAGGTGAGAGGTGCCACCAAAACGTAAAAGAAATTCTGATAATCAGTATTGTTTGAGACTTTGTAATTTAATTTAGATATTTTCGATTTTTTTTCTTAGACTAATAAAAATAATGTTCAAATTAACCGACATTTTCATTAATTAATTTTTTTAATGTTTAAAAATTAAAGTTTAAAAAAAATTAAAAGTATAAAAATTCTCCTCCCGTTTTATTAATAATATTACAATAATAACAACCTACATGTTCTCTTTTTAACAAGACTAGAAGTAACCTATTTGTTGTTGTCCATTTTTTTTTTTGAGTTCAGTGTTTCTGTTAGAATTAACAGCAGCTTTTTTTACCTATTTACCTTTTGGAGATCCTTGTTATAGGAATAATTTTCATATCCTTATAGTAACAGTAAAAATAAATTACATATACAGACGTTTTTTTATACCTAACTTCAAGTTTCAGGGAGGTAAACTATTTGAAAATATTTTTCAGGAAGCAAAAATTCAAGATAAAAATTTTTAATTGGCTTCTAATACGCTTTTTTATCATTTTCTTTCTTTTTCGATTTTATTTTCCCAATTATTCTACCACACTTCGAATTCTTTTTCACTTCCTTCTTGAGTCGCTTTTTATATTTGACTGAAATTTGATTACTTTTGGCGAAAATGATTAAATAATATGATAATTTATCTCAGGTCTCGGCGAAAAGTGTTTATCTATCCAACTCCAAATACAGATTTAGTTTGTTTCACTCTGTCTTTTTCTGGTACTCCTTTTCGCCGCTTATTATAGAAAATGTTTCAATAATTTAGCTTATTGAACCCAAAATTGAACACAGACCAGAACGCTTTACATAACAATTGTAGTTAGAATTTAGCCCTTACATAGGGAATAACGGTACCCTACTTCGCCTCCGTGGGCATCCAACCGCTATGTAGACCAAAGCCCTTTCTTGCACCGAGTCTTCCGGCCGAAACCTACCTGGAGTTTGCTGCTGCTGAGGGGTCTGGGTCCCGTCGACGGGTCCCGGCACCACGTGGAAAACTTCGCCGATGTCGGGCGACGCGTCCTTGCCCTCCGCCCGCCTTTGGAGCTGGTGCAGCTGCTCCATGTGGAGATGCTTCAGAGATCGTACGTGTTGGAGAAGAGGTAGTCGGTTGGTCGCGGAAAACCCGCACAAAGAACAATGAAACACCCGCGGTTGGTTCGGCGCCAACGCGTTGCACCTTTCCAGCAGGTGTTTGAGTAAGGCGACGCCGGCGTCGTGACGGCCGGCCGCCGCGTGCAGTTGGAGTTTGTGCGCGGAATTGGTGTAATAGTCGCACGCGTTGCACCTGATCTGCACGCCACCCGGAGCGGACGCGTACTTCAGTTTCCATTCGTTCCGCGCCCCGCCCTCCTTCACGTGGTTCACGTGCTGCAACCTTTGGAGATGCTTGTCAGTCTTACAGTGGAGTTGGAAGTTCGCTTTCAGGTTCGTCTTGTACGTGCACAATTTGCACACGTAATGGCCGGCCACCACCGCCAATATCTCCTGCTCTCTCAGTCTTGTTCTGTCCAGCGCGAGGTGTCTGCCCAAGTCCTCCAGATTATCCGTCTGGAATACGTTGCAGACGCAGCACTGGTAGATCTTTTCCGGGTCCGGATCCGCGGGCTCCGGCGGCGGTTCCATCGTTTCCGGGTTCAGGCCGAGGTCAGAGTGCGCGGCCATGTCCGCGGGACCAGTGTGACCGGGCAACTGACCGCCGGTCATCATTTGTATCAGCAACGCCTGATTGTAGGCCATATCGGCCAGCGCCGCTTCCGGTTTGTCTCCCAAGCCCGGATAAATGCCGTACAGGCTCTCCATGTGCTGCTGCGGATGTTGCTGGTGATGCAACGCGGATAAGGTTTGCATATGTTTAACGTTTTGTTGCAACACCAACATGTTGTGGGTGTGCTTTTCGGAGGTCATGTGTATCCTGAGATTCCTAGCGACGTTCGTTTCGTAATTACACACGTCACACCTAAAACTAGGTTTGGGTTTGTGGCCGCTGCTGACGGGCGAGTGGTGCAACGCAGGTGCCTTCGGCGACGCCTGTCTGGGCTCGCTGTTCGGTCCGCCGCCGTTCTGCAGCTCTTGCATATTGTTCAGGTGCTTATCGGATTGCATGTGTATACTAAGATTGCCTTTGGTGGTGGTCGAGTAGTTACAAACTTCGCACCTGTACGGTTTGTAGCCACACGTGTAGGTCTCGCCTCTGGCCAGTCGTGGATGCGGCTGGCCAGCTATGCAGTAGATACAACTCGTCTCCGCCTCCGGGTGTTTCTCTTTCATGTGAATCTCCAACGTTTCCTGGTACTTGTAGTGCCAGTTACACTTGGGACATTTGAGGGTCTTGCAGGAGTTGCGACTGTGGACGTTCGCGAGGCCCGCGGGACCGAGACGGCCGGAAGCCAGGATCATCTCGCAGCGGGCGCACTCGACGCCCGATGGACGACCTTGGAGGTGTTCCGGACACACCCCTATCGTCGTACCGGTCATGAAGGCCGGCGGAGTGGCGAACGGCGGCGACGGCGATTTTCCGGGGGTGTTCCGGGCCGACGAACCGGGTGGAGTTTCAGTCATTGGAGATGGACCCTCGGGACGATTCTGAGGAAAAAATATCGGATTCTAGCTACGACGTAAGATTGAGGTTGTGGGAGTATGTGCAGACGGGACTCCTATGAGACTTCGGGCGAGACTTTTAGATCCAAGTGGTTAGATGAACGTTTTTTTAAAGAAAACCTCGTGTTTTACCAGTTTTTGGCAATTTTGAAAGCAAATTGGAAGTGTAAAATTGAATATTAGAAAGAGTATCAGTAAACAACGTATATTTTTCAGTAAATTGCGTATCTGCTGTGAAAACAGACGCCAACGTAAAACGCAATAAATAATAGCAACTAAATAAAACTATAGTTCTAGATAGTACAGGGTGTTCCAGAATTCATTTCAAAGATTTTAAGGTTACTTTTCATTTTCGAGATAAAAAATCCTTTTTTATTTTCGCTAATTACCCAAAAACTTTTTAGATGATTATGCACGCGTATTTGTCGCCATATTTTGTATAATTAAAATAAAATTATTCATTTTAGTGGCGTCCCAGAGCGTGATCTTATTGATAAATAAAAAAAAATTGTATTGAAATTTGAACCACCATGTGCATGCGTATTTGTCGTCATATTTTGTATAATTAAAATAAAATTATTCATTTTAATGGCCTCCCAGAGCGTGGTATCATTGATAAAGAAAATTCTTGTATTGAACTAACACCGGCAAGGGTCACTTTAGGAATGCTTATGTTAACATTTTCGTGCACAATCAACAACTTTCTGATTTTAAATTCCTGTATATTATGGCATGTCTTATTTCCGCTGTACTGGACACACTTATACCGGGCCATATATTTAAACTTTACCGTTTCTAATACATCTTGAAGATTATGTCAAAAGTAACGTTGCATTCCAATCCATTTCCCTGATAAAAAATAAATTTGAGATTGATTTTCTCACTTGTGTCTGTGTTGAAAATAACTAAATACAAGCTGATCAAAATCTAACATGTAAAATTTTAATAAAAAAAAGCGTAACAAGTCATTTTTCAATCATTTTTGTATATTTATCGCATTTAGCATTTAAAACAGTCATGAAAAAGTAATAGATGCTATGACGACGTCATCATTTTAGCTTGCTGCTAGTGTGGAAATCAAAGTTTGACAGTTTTATGCCTCCCAACTCATTTTTTATTATTATTCGGAGTCGGGATGTGACTTAAAATTTAAAATATGTTATAATAGAAACGGCTAGATTTAGGTATAGCATTTTATATGATGTGTTTAGCGGAAAGTAACATTCTGGCTCTAAGCCAGAAATCAAGAGCAGGATTAGGATGGCAGATCTGGAAAGCCCACCATATCCGAAAAAATGGCCAAAATGGGACTTCCGTGTGGTGCGCTGCGTCGCAACTTATGGCTCAGGGCGCTAGACGCTTGGACGCTGAACGCTGCCTGCCGTAGCAGAATAGAGGCGTTTCAAATGATATGCTATCGCAAGATGTTGAAGATTCCTTGGTGGGCCTACAGGAGGAATATTTCCCTGTCTAGGGAACTCAATATTCGAGATGATGAAAGACTATTCCCCAACTCAGAGCAGCATACTAAAATATTTCGGTCACGTGATACACAAGGGCAAAAGGAGAGACAGATTCCTCTTTAGATTTATAGAACAAGTGAACGACCCCACAAATATATCTCTAATATATATCTAATATATTTTTGAAGTGATTCTACAACCTATTTTGTAGTTTGTTTTTAGTCCGTAATTTATTTGTGTCATAAGATTTGTAACCCGACATTGCTAATGATGCAAAAAAAAACATGAACGTTTATGACAGAGGATAATTAAGAAAACATCTTGGATATGGATGTATCTATACGTCCACTCAGTTTGGCTACCATCCGCCAGACACCCACTATATGAAATATGTCTACAAAATGGTGAGGAACTAATAGCTAGCCACAAAAGTCATTTGGATGGACTTAACCAATATATTTTCGATAATTCTTTCTTACGGCTTCTGAGAATAGGTGTGATCCCGAAATAAACGGGCCACCACATGCGCCCGACACCAAGCAAAGTAGATTTTATTACTCCCCACTCCAAGTAAACGTCAAAGCCCCAAAGCCCGAAAGGCATCTACAAACTATTGCGTACATTTTGCATCGGGATCAACTGGCTCATTTGGTGAGGTTCCTGCGCCGGGCTCCCCAACGGTTCCAGCAACGACACCACCGGCCTCTTATCCGCCCCCACGCACTGGAGGATTGCACTACAGTCCGCCGCTAGCACTTCGCGTTCGTTGTCTTTCAGAGCCACCCCGTGTTCCGAATGGGCGTGGTTCGCGAACGACCTCGCGAACCCGAACGACAATTTGCACACGAAACACATCAGGATCGGTTTGATGGGTACCGACGCGGGACGTGGTGGACGCGCGTCCCGCAATGCCACCACGCGGTAACTATGCACAGCGGGTAGTTCGGTCGGTCGCGCGGACGGTTGCCTTAGCAACCGCGACACGTAGACCGCTTGTAAGGGCGGCACGACGTCGGGGGCGGGCGGTCCCTGACACTCGCCGCCGTCGCCGCTCTCCGAATCCTCGATGATGTAAGCGGAACCGTCGGGGTTGTAGACGATTTTACCGGCGAACTGCTCGACGTCCGAGTTTGCGGCACCGGCCGCCGCCGAACCCGTCGGCGAGGAGAGCCGAGTGGGCGGCGCGGGCGGCGGGGACGCGCCTGGGGCGGCGGGCGGCGGCGACGCTTCCTGTTCGGGGCTCATGGCGGCTGGTCGGGATGCGCCGCTGATCTGCCGCTCGTCGCGGCCGCCGGAACTCAGCTCAGGCGCCGCGGACAGGGTGGGCATCGCGACGCATCACATGCTCGCCAATTGAACGCCCTGTAACCAAAGGGACGCGCGTTAAGAGGGGGCAAAACAGCACCGACGTCAGCAATGCTGTTTATATTACGTCGGTGTTATTACTATGTCGAAAAATTGTTGTTATTTTGGTCAAATCCGGACTCAACAATTGGATGTGATGTGGATGTGATTTTATTAAATTACAATAAATTTGCTTTTCGTCAGCCACATCAGCCACTAGCTTATATTACTCAGTCCGAAGTTAATTTTAAGAATTTCGGTTGGTAAAATCAGCAAAATCCTGCGGATTACTTATAAGTAATTTTGTAAATTTGTTTGACATTTTGGTAAGCTAAAACTCCCAAAATAGTTTATGTCAATGTTGAGAGAATCCTTAACTTCCGGTAAAATCAATTAAGACCCTGATTTAATTTAATCAACAATGGGTTAAGTGATTTGAAGTAGATTTATTTTTTTGCAACATCACTCAGGAAAATTATAAAAAAAAAAATAGTTTTCAGTCCGAACTGGATTTAGCCATTTTGGTTGGTTTTTCATTATTATGAATCATTAGAATCAGCAAAATTCAGATCCAACTATGGGATAGTTGTAGGTAATTTTGTAAATTTGTTTGAAATTTTGATAAGCTAAAACTCGAAATTGTTTATAAAATAATAATAACAATAAAATCAACTAAGGCTTTGAACATTTTGTGCATTTAAAATCAACGATGGGTTGATCTAAAGTAATTTTAAATATTTTTGTCGATATCGATCAGGTAAATTAAGCAAGACCTTTAAGAACGAGCTTTATGATTTTGATAAGCTAAAACTCGAATTAAATTAAATTAAATTTTTTATGGCTATGTGGAGAGAATTCTTAACTTCCAGTAAAATCGACTCAATTAAGTTTTTTTTTAAAACATCGATCAGGTAAATTAAGAAAAAACTGGAATAATTTTGCAGTTTTTTTTTTGGAATCTTGATCAGCTGAAACTCAAAAATAATTTTTTACGACAATTTTGGTTATTTTGGTTAATTAAAATTAACATTGAAAGGATTGACTTCCCGTTAGTCTGAAGAAATTTGAATTTGGTTGACTAAAAAAAGCATACCAGTCGATATTTTCTGTAACTAAAAGCAACAATGGGTTAGTTTTAAGCAATTTTAGCTATTTTAAGTTATTGTTATTGTTTATTTTATTGTTATTTTAAATCAATAGAATCAGACAAATTCACCTTAAGTATTTTTTTATTTTCTTTTGGCAATTTTATATGCTAAAACTCAATAACGGTTTATGGTAGTTTTGATTAATTTGGTGAGTTAAAATTCACATTGAAGTGATACACTTTCGGTTAGTCCTACGTAAGTTGTATTTGGTTAATTAAAAAAGTACAGGCGTGATCATTTTGTGCAATTAGTTAGTAAAGTAATTTTAGGTATTTTTTGTCACATGATCAAGTAAATTAAGAAAAAAAAATAGTTTTATTATTTAGTCCTAGTTGACGGGCCACTGCAGGCTTAAGACACATCTAAGCCTGATGGAAGTGGAAGAAAACACAGAATGTAGATTCTGTCAGGAAGAGGAGGAAACAGCCGCACACGTACTGTGGCCACTGCGAAGGCCTGGCGAGAGTGCGTTTCCATCTGCTGGGCGATATCAAACCAGAGGCAGAGAGCTATACGAGCCAGCCATTATCGAAGTTGTGGGGTCTGGTTAGAGAGACGAACCTGGATAAAGCTCTATAGCTATGGAGAGAGTCACAACAGATCCTCTGGGTCGCAGTGACGGACAGGCTGACTGCTAGCTCTTCCAACCGTTAATCTTAATCTTAGTCCTAAGTAAATCCAACTCTAGTTGTTTCTAGTTGTTACTTGATTCGATTATTTTGAATCGTTGGAATCAGAAATTGTAAATGTGGGTTAGTCTTAAGTAATTTATTTGGACAAGCCAAAACTCGAAAACAGTTTATATTGTTCCTGATTATTTTGGTGACGTAAAACTAACATTTCAAAAAATCAACTTTCAGTTAGTCCTAAGTAATGCGTATTTTCGGTTTGCATGTGTGAATAGCCAGGAGATCCAACTTTGTAGACTATTTAGCCGTGATAGCGATCACCATGAGCTGTGGCGGTACGCACGAAGTAATGAATGTGGAAAAACACTGGTGGAATGGGCCGAGGAAAACAATCTACATCTCGTGTTTGATGCTAATGAAAAAGGTACTTTCCACTCAGCTCTGTGGAAAAGGGACTACAATCCGGATTTATGCTTCGTGACCACTGACGGTAACAGACCACTGCCGGTTCAAAGAAGAGTTGCCGATAAATTTCCACATAGCCAGCATAGACCGGTCATGATGGACGTCGGTCTTTCCATACCTCTTATTAAATCAGTCCCTCGTCCCAGATGGAATTTCCGAAAAGCCAATTGGGGGAACTATCGCAACGTACTAGATAAAATAATTCGATTCATATCCCCTCTACCAAAGAATTACAACCGATTCAAAAACGCTGTCATCGTCGTGGCCAAGAAACACATCCCCAGAGGTTTCAGAAAGGAATGTATACCAGGGTGGAACGAACGCTGCCAGAGCCTCTACGACGACTTTGCCAATGCTAGAAGGCAAAAGTGGACGGAGATGGTCGAGGAGATGAACTTCGCTCATTCAAGCCTTTTGCGCAAACTGGGCGGATCTACAACTAAGACAAGCAAAAACATGTCTATCACACCAAACGAGATAGCTAATACGATCGTGGCAACATCTAGGGCTCCCCGTCAAAAAGCACATACAATAAAAATCAAGGAAGAATTAAAAACATCAAAAAGAACATCCCCGAATGAATCAAACTTCTCCAAACCATTCTCAGATAATGAGGTCACCAATGCAATTAAAGATGTAAAACTGGGCAAGGCTCCTGACTTTGACTTCATCCACCCGGAACTTCTTAGCTACGCCGGAAAAAACACGGTAAAATGGCTCGCGCAGTTCTTCTCTAACATTATGCAGACAGGGGAACTGCCGAAGGGGTTAAAAAAATCTAAAATAATAGCCCTGCTGAAACCAGGAAAACCTGCTGATCAGCCAAAAAGCTACAGACCAGTTGCTCTTCTCAGCTGCACGTATAAATTACTTGAGCGCCTCCTCTATAACAGAATTGGTAGCACCATTACGGGATACCTGCCTCCTGAGCAAGCAGGATTTAGACCGGGCCGCAGCTGCTGTGACCAGGTGCTGGCATTGACGTCGCACATAGAAGCGGGTTCTTGGACTTGACGTCAGCCTATGATACGGTCTGGAGGGAGGGACTGAATTACAAATTTCTGAGAGCCATACCATGCCAAACAACAGCCCGACTAATACAAAACATGCTGAGCAATAGGTGCTTCAATGTGGTCCCCGACGACAAAATTAGCCACACCAAGATAATAAATAATGGTCTCCCGCAGGCGTCTGTCTTGGCTCCCCTTTTGTTTAATCTTTACATATCAGATCTTCCAGCCACAGAGGGGAAAAATTCTGCTACGCGGACGACATAGCACTGGCTATTAGGCACAAATCTCTTGACGCTGCAGAAATCATTCTCAACAACGACCTTGTCAGACTACATACATATTTTAAGAATTCGAGACTAATACCAAACCCTGCCAAAACAGAAACATCAACATTTCATCTTAATAATAAAATGGCAAACGCACGAATAGAAGTGCAGCTGGGGGATGCCACTTTGAATCATAACAGGCACCCTAAGTATTTGGGAGTGACTTTGGACCGCACGCTCACCTATCGGAAACACCTGCAGAATACCGCAGCGAAGATCGCAACCCGAAATAACATAATCCAAAAATTATGTGGAACCACCTGGGGCGCAACTGCAACAACACTATGAACTTCTTCGCTTGCTCTTGCGTTCTCCGTGGCCGAATACTGCGCTCCAGTGTGGATCAATAGCTGTCACTCCAGGCTTGTTGAGAGACAACTAAATAGCACAATGAGGCTGATATCCGGTACTATTAAGTCTACACCTACATATTGGCTGCCAGTGCTATGCAACACGGAAGACTAAAGTCCAGAAAACCGTCATTATATCTGGCTGAAGCGCTCCAAAATGATGGCTATGATCCCAAAGACCAATGGAAGCGCGACTGGAGTTTGAAAGCAAGTGATGTTCTTCAAAACTGGTTCGCAAATTATAATTGCAACGTCACGGGAACCGACCTAAACCGAAGGCAATGGTCAGCCCTGAACCGGGTACGTACCGGACATGGAATGTGCGCGGACTCGTTACACCGACGGGGAAAAACAGCATCACCAGAATGTGGCTGTGGAGCACCAAGACAGACCATCCAGCCTATTCATAGCGAGTGTCCCTTACGCTTAAACACGGGAAGCTGGCTTGACCTTATGGAGGTATCTGCGTCGGGGTTGGAATGGATAACAAACCTTGACATTGAATTATAGCTTTTATCTTTTTACATTTGTGTAATTATTCGTGATTGTTCTTAGATCTGTACTTGTATTATACATTGCATGTAATGCCATACGTTAAATAAATAAAAAATGCGTATTTGATTAACTAAAGGGTACAGTTAGTCTTAAATTATTTTATTATTTTGTCTTAATTGGAACCGACAATAAAATCTATCTTTAAGTTATGCAGGTAAAACTAAAATAATAATTTATTCATTGATTATTTTGTTGTTTAGTTTAATGGGCTAGCCTTAAGTATTTAAAGATGTTTAGATGTAAATAAAAGAAATCTAGATTGTTTTGTGTTGGTTGGAAAAATTATGTAACGAAAATATTGATAAATTAAAATTTACAATTTTTATTCACATTAAACTCGAACGTTTCTTTCTGATGGTTTCGCCGCATTGTGTAAACAAAGTCGCTCCTCCAAAAAGGCACCACGCTAGACTTACCACGAAATCAGGGCGAGGATAATGAAATAAATACTTAAATACCGCCGAAACCTCCATTCCAAGTTATTAAACCCAAATTATATATCGAGCCGGCGCCGCTAAAAGCCCTTCCCGCT